CAGGGAGATGTTTGAGGCATGGAATAGAGAGGAAAGGACGGTAGCTGTACTGGGGCATAGGAGGTGGGTTGAAAAGGCGGGAAGGGATATCGTTAGGATAGACAGACTAGGGAAGACATTTTTGAGCCACCTTTGGCAAAGTAGAAAGGAAAGATTGGCCATCGGTGATCGGTGCTGTGGGAACAATGCTCCGTCCTCTCGAGGACGTGTGGTCAATGGTCTAACCGCTAAGACATGCAAAACATAAGAGTACGCCCCCCGCCTTCTGTCCTCACGTGGGAGGGGGAACCACTAATCATCGACCTATCCACCAGCGCTACTACAGTGTTTCTGTCAAGGTCGATAAAAATAGGGCAAGGGTGGGCGACTGCCCTGGCCTCCTCCACGCAGGCCAAAAGCTCAGCAGCGTGTAGGTCGCCATCGTTGTCTGACCTGAACATGTCTTTGACGACGGAGGCGGCCTGCTTCGTGGCCTGGTGCAGGAACACCCACCCCAGCTCCTCGCAGAACACGAACGTCATGTCTCGCCACACTTCGAACCCGCAAGAGGACCGAAAGAAGTCTTCGGCATCGCCCCCGCAACCGCCACGTCCACCACCACCACTACCACCCTTAGCCTTGACCACAGCGCCTCCTCCAGCTACCCGGCTGCTGCGGCCTCTGCCGCTGCCATCCCTGTCGGAGCCAAACTTGGCGATGCATTCCTTTCGAAGAGCGCTGATCTTTAGCGAGTCGACGCCGTCTCTGTTGTATCCGAACGGAACGGGGCACTCAATGCCGCCGCAGTCGAGGGGGCTGAAGCCCTGGCGACTGACGTGGCGGCCGGCCCAGGTCCTGTCGAGGAACTCCTGGATGGTGTTGGCCGTGGATCCCACGGCTGCCTCCTCCCGCCTCAGCGTGAACCCGAGCTCGACCAGCGCTTCCCTCATCTTCTCGACGACGAACGCTAGCTTTGACGCTTGGATCTGGAGACGGAGGTCAGCCAGCTTCGCGGCGTCCTCCTCCAGGGTTTGATCGGACAAGAACGCCGATGCTACGTCGAGACGCGGCGACCATGACGCTGGAAGCGGCGGTGGGTATTGTTGCTTGCCCCCCTCCACGGGCTTGGCAGTTGGGTCTTGCGCTTCTTCCTCTTGCTGTTGTTCCATGCCGGCATCCGCAGAGCCGTCGAGACCCAAGGGTTCGTCAAGGGTGCCGGCGGCGGGGGACCGCTCCACCTGCAGCTGGCTTCGTTCTTGTCTGAAGCGTGCACGCTGCGAACGTTGTGGACCAGCTCCCGGCTGTCAAAACAGATTGGGCGCCGAGGAGGTCCCGAAAACAATGACATCGCGAAAGACACGCACATTTTTTCGACGGGCAGGAGGTGCGGGGTGGAAGGGGTGTCAGCGGCTTTGTTCCAACCTGGTGTAAAATTAAACTTCGTGAGGTATGCATTGGAGCGACTTAACGATTTAACTACACTAGGCCCCAGTGAGATGTCTCGGGTAAAGGAGATCAAAAAGAAACAGAGCCTATCGCGATGCCAAGCACAGTAAAACAGGCAAGGAGAATCAAACTAAAAAGTTGTACTGCTGTAGTGGGGCGTGGGCGGAGTCTATAGACTACAGCATTACATGCACATCTACTTGAGACAAAGGTGTACAAGGTAGTGCGATGACTAGCGGAATGACCTCGCTAAAACTGATCAAAGTTGTGTAGGATACAGCAGTAGACTTGCGTACATTACAGAAGTTGACGTTGTCTAGACTGTCGTGAACTGAAATCCTACAACACCTCCAAAGCTCAAAACGGCAAACATGACAAGGAGAGAGAGGGCTTCGCAGCATCCTATCTCGATTGGGTAGAGTGCATTCGTGGTCCTTCTATGGTAACACTTATTTCCTGGGTAGGGTAGCACACACACACAGGCCAAAGGCGTCACATACTTTCACTTCGTAGTACTAGACTTGCCGTGCTTCCACAAGGATACCGCTGCACGATCCAGGTCAGTCAATTACTCTGTACCGCGAGGAGTACAACGGCCACCGGCGATTGTCAGGGGAGCTCACGCACGCACGATTGTTCCGTAGGGGGTCTTGCGCTTGTTGATCGGTGCCTTGCCCGCCGAAGTCAGGGCAGCAGGAGCAGCGGGAGCAACGATCATTCTCTGACGACCCACTCTCCCAGCAGCTCCAATCCCTTCTCTCCGATTGGTCGACACTATACGTGAGAATCTCCGCCGATAACTCCGCCTGTTCAACCTTCAACCTTCGTGTTTCTTCCCGAGAGCATCCGAGGTATCAAATAAATAGCAGGCAGACTCGTTGCACCTAAGGCTCTCTTCCTCCGTCTCCCCTCTCCTTCTCCTCTCTGTCTGCCCCTTTCTCTCTCGTTCTCAGACACTCTGGGGGCGGGGGTGTTGCCCGAGAGCTTCGAGAAAGAGGCCCTGCGGATGGTCCGCGGGTACTGCTAGACAGATCCCGGGAAAAAGGTGCGGCGCAACTTTCCGGGCCGCACAGCCGCGCAGCGCATGCATGTTTTTTGCACTTTTTGTTTCAGAGGCGCTCTTGACCCTTGACGTGGAACCCCGCTATCACAGCAGGCACACGCACCGGTTACCACGCTACAGACAACGATAGCATGGCTGAGCCCACGACCAAGAAGCAGAAGGTGCTGACGCAGTACGAGAAGCTGGCCGAGGTGACCAAGATTGTGGCCGACACCGGAGAGATTGCCCAGATCAAGAAATTTGCCCCGACAGACGCTACGACCAACCCGTCCCTCCTGTACAAGGCATCGTCCGCCCCTGAGCATCAGGACCTCGTGAACGATGCCCTCGCCTACGGGAAGGGTCTCAAAGGTTCGTGCGGCGTGTGTTGTCGTGCTTTGCGACGACCTAGTTGTGGTCGCGAGGGAAGGGGAGGTTGGTGATTGCGGTGATGGGCAGACACGGCGGGTTGTTTTCAAGTTCAATTTGCCGACTGCTCGTTGAGACGCTGGTCCGCGTGCAAAGGCAGCATGCACCAAACCACACCTGTCTGTGTCGGATCTCTTCATGTAGCTCACACTCAGTCCTCCTGAAGATATGCTGTCATTGTGGACTTCGCATTTTTACCTCGACGTGCCCTGTACGGAATCGTGAAAGGTGTCTTGTCTTTTCGGCAAATTTCAGGCATTTTACCGGCTCTGATACCTTGTGGGCTGCCTACCGTTTCGAGATGCATGACCAACATCTACGTCGACGTAGTCTTCCTTTCTAGCCAAAGCACCCCTTGGTATCCGTAGCACAACAACATCAGTTAGTGCATGTCTGCCCGCCTAGGATCTCTTTTGTGCAGTGGCTCATGTTCCTTTGTGGGAGCTTCCGGTGCTCGAGATCCAGCAGACAGGCAGGTAGGGACTCGTCCTCCACATACAGCAGCAGTATATAGTGGGCCCTGTATAGTGCGGGTTGAATAATAGCGCCGGGTACCGGTATAGTGCCGGTATAATGCCGGTGTTTTAGGCTCGCGCAAACTGAAATAACAAATCTTTCTGTACATATGTAGTGACGGTGTCCGGTATTGTGCCGGTAGAATCTCTGGACACATACCGGCACTTTCAGGGCCCACTATTGACTGTACAACTCGACTAGTGGAGGGCGAACCTTGTCACCTGCGCTGTCCGTCGATATGCATTGGTAGGTAAACTCATAATACCGCATGCGACAACTGCATGTACCGTATATGACACAAGATAATACACCCCCTGGACCGATGGTCAAAGCTCGATTACTCCACGACGAAAAGGATGCATAAACGAAATGATACATTTTCGAAAAGCTCTCGACGAGACGGTTTGAACGCCGCCGTTTTCGGCGCTGTGATTGTTCCTGCAGTTGAGAAATCGAGCTTCGAAAATCGGTCAAGGGGGTGTGTTATCTTGTGTCATATACGGTAGTTGGAGCATTCACAGAGGCACATGTTCTGCTGTAGATGTTCTTGACCCGCGCGTGCGTCCGATGCGATCAATTCAGTCACGCACCGACGTTGTAGAAGTATGTTGTTATGGAAGGCTTAGATATGTACAACATACACACAGATGTGGCGACTAACTTGCATTCTGTCCGTTAGTCTAGTCTACGTGGAGCTCTCGCAATCTCGACCTGTCGTACTTCTGCTGTGCGGCTGTGTCGTCTCGTTAGTTGAAGGACTCCGATCCGGGTGTACACAGAACAATAGGAAAAGCTACCGCGATGTGCATGACTTCATTTTAGCGTGCACGCGACAAGGATTGAGCGATTCCTTCCTCCAAGCGTGCCACACGAACATCAGTTTGCCCACGCTACGAAATTCGAACAACAAGAACAGACACACACACGCCGAGAGTCGAGCGCTCAAACTGCCCGCTAGAATGGTTTCGAGGTCATCAACATGTAGTCACCGGGACGACCGAGCTTGCAAGCACACCCACATCCAACATTCAGCCTAGCGATTTTTCTTCTCGCGGTCAACCTCACCGCGTTCCAAAATGACTTGTCATGAATGTGCCTTGTGTGAGTTGAAGCCTTCGTACTGCCGTCGTGGTATGGCCGACCGCCCTCGCTGTAAAAAAAAAATAACGTTTCTGTCGATGTACGTCCGTCTGCGTCTCAAACCAAAACACCAACAGACGTGACCGACGACGAGCGAGTGGCAAAGACCATGGACAAGCTCAGCGTCAACTTCGGCGTGGAGATCCTCACGCTGGTCAAGGGCTACGTCTCGACGGAGGTAGACGCCAGGCTGAGCTTCGACACAGAGGCCACTCTGGCGAGGGCGCGCAATATCATTTCGCTCTACGAGGCCGCGGGTGAGACGCTATTGGGGGGGCGGCGGAATGCACATTGCGGCGGCGGTGGGGGCTGAACCGCTTCCGGGTTTTGTACAAAATGTCTCCATTGGACTTGAAAAACTTGCGAGGTCGGCTGCACGCATGAGGGCCTAGAATCAACCTCGTCCCCCCATGCCGTCCCACCGCAACTGGACAAAATTCCCACAGGCGTCGACAAATCTCGCATTCTCATCAAGATCGCCAGCACGTGGGAGGGCATCAAGGCGTGCGAGGTCCTCCAGAAGGAAGGCATCTCCTGCAACATGACCCTCCTCTTCGCGCTGCCTCAGGCAAGGACAAGCAACGCCTGCTGCAACTCCCCGTCCCCCCCCCGTCCCCCGCAGCGGAATTTGTTGAGGCGGTTTCTCCTCTCATGCGGCTGGTCACAGCTGCCGCCAATAAGGTCCCGACGTTGGGCCCGCCCCTATTTAGCGTTCGTGTGTGTGGCCGTCTAGCTTGGTTTCAGTTGTTGACCCTCCCTACCCCCCACCCCCCGCTTCAGGCGGCGGCCTGCGCCGAGGCAGGTGCCACCCTCATCTCCCCCTTCGTCGGACGCATCCTGGACTACTACAAGAAGAAGACCGGGAACTCGTACCCTGACGCGTCGCAGGACCCAGGCTGCATCAGCGTGTCGGAGATCTACGGGTACTACAAGAAGCACGGCTACGGCACGATCGTCATGGGGGCCAGCTTCCGGAGCAAGGACGAGGTGCTGCAGCTGGCGGGGTGCGACCGGCTCACCATCGCTCCCAAATTCCTCGCGGTAAGACGCGGGCAAGAGTTTTGTTTTCTTTGTGCGCCGTGTGTTATCCGTGAAGGCTGTGGTAATTGCCTGCTTTTTGCTTTCAAGACTCTGGACATATTTTTGCTCCGGTGGAAGGACATCATATTTGCTATCTTAAACTTGTACTGTGATGCGATGCGTCGCATCTTCACGTTCGTAAACCCATCGATGTCTATGACGAATCATTTTCATTCTTTTGCCTGAATCCATATGAAGCCTGGTCATAGACCACCCTCAACTGCAGGGGTTGTTTCAGACGGCTCCTGTTGGACGTGTGCGCGTGTGCCGCCACGACATGGCGTCGGTCTCGCCCACCCTTGCACACCCCCGTTCTTTGGTCCTCCCAAGAACGTTCCTGCTGCACTGACCATTGAATGGGCGGCACTGGTTGTCATTCACCGAAGAAACACGTTGTGTATGCTCTCGACATTGCAGCAACCCCCTCCTGCGCTACCGCCGCCGTTTGTTCGGTCTCACGTGCGCTATGCTTCAGGAGCTGCAAGAGAGCAAAGGCGAGGTGGTGCAGCACCTCGAGGCGTCGGCTTCAGCCGCGGCGTGCACGCTTGACAAGGTATGCAAGGTTCTCTCCTGCCATAAATCACATCACCCTACATGCCTACCCTACATGCGTGCTCATGGCAGTAACAACTATATTGCTCGTCATCCAGCACAGGTGTTGAGCAGTCAGCCCCTCCAATCACTGGCCGGTTGTAACATCAACACCTGCTACTAGCAGCACTACTCGCTGTCGATGCCATTTTTTTCATAAAACCGTTTCACGTCTTTGGCCGACTATTCCCCGACATTGCTTTCCTCTAGCAGCAGCAGCAGGAGTGGCAATCATTGCAGCCCATAGTCGGGTGAGGTTCACCGCCGTCCTACACCTTGAACGTTACGCCGCCCGATGCATGGAGCTTACAGATGTAAACCGACAGGCCGTGCCATTCTGTAATCGATTGCATGTAGCGGGTTCGATGGCGAAAATCAGACGATGGTCCGGCCCTCGGTTTATTTTGCAGCACCTCAATAAATGCCCATTGTGCAGGTCTGCTTTTCTTCTCCAGCGGAAGGAACTACATAGTCTTAAGTGTAAACGTAGTCCCCAGAACAGCGGACTGCATATTAGCGGTACTGCTGCACGAGAAAAGCCGTGTCCGCATTGCATTCAAGTGTGCACAGAACAACAGATTGCAAGACGACGATATTGCTGCTCACGCCCGATGATAGCGGCCATGTGTTAGCTTTCATTTTTTTGCCCTGACAGCTACGAGTTCGGTTTCGAAGTGCACGTACATCCTGTGACCAGCTTGGTCCCAAGCAGATCTAGTATGATGCTACCTCGAGTCTGCCGGCAAACTACAATCCACTACCACACCGCAACGTTTTCAGACCTCATGATTTCGGTATTCTTGGTCCTGCTGCGTTGTCGGTGGGGGGTACAGCAGTTTCACAAAATTCATGGGGAGCGGTGCGTAATAGGGGAGCTGTTCGGGGGTAATATATCGTCATGTCCCAAATCAATCGGCAGATAGACAGACAGACAGACAGACAGACAGACAGAGAAGGCCCCCCTTCGGCAACACGAGGAAACTTATCAAAACGAGGCTCTCCGGGTCGGGGGTTAGGTGAAACGATCCCCAGTCCGAAGATGCCAGCAGGTAGAACACCGCCATCCTGCTGAGCTCCTCTCTGCCTCGGTCTTGTGCTGTTGCTGGGAGCTCAACGGCAGAAGGGTGATAGTAGGCACAAACTTTGGATCCGTGTAACGGCTGCTGAAAGCTGTCACTGCTGCAGTGCTGCAGCCAGTCCGTCCACGATGTTGCTGCTGGCCCCACTGCTGCCAGGCTACATTAGCGTCTTTACTCCAAGGAGCCAACGCAGATCAACACCGTATCATCACCAGCACCTCACCCGTGGCGCCTGTAGTGCCAGTAAGGTGCTGCCGCTGTTTATGGTTGCTTGGCACCCGTTTCACCGCTGGGTTGCCTGCTGTCTTGCTGTCTTGCTGTCTGGTCTCTGTGCGATGGCGTTTAAGGCGTGCATGCCTGTGTAGCCTACCTTCAAAGATCAACTCTCAAGAATTCAGATGTCCAACTAGTTGGGTGAATCGTGCGGGCACGCCGAACAACCTCTTTTCGGCATGAGTGCAACCATCTGAACGCGCTATTAATACTTACCCTTAGTAGGTCTAGGCCCATCACGCTTGTCTCACCCTGCTCATACGCTTATCTCCCCCCGCCTCACCCATCCCCCCACCTCGAAACGAAACCCTTCTGAAACCAACACCTGCTACTTACGTCAGCTGCCGTCCAGCGAATCGGCCTTCCGCCTGGCGATGAACGACGACCCCATGGCCACCTCGAAGTTGGCCGAGGGGATCCGCGGCTTCTCCGCCGACCTGGTCAAGCTGGAGGCCACCGTCCGCGACCGCCTCGGCGTCACCCCGTCCCCGAGTCCCGGCCCGGCCTGGGCCCCGCCTGCCGCCGCCGCCGCCGCCGCGGCCAACGGAGACGGTGTTACTAACGGTAACGGTAACGGTGGCGGTGGCGATAAGACGGAGTTTGACCAGCTGGCGGAGGTGACGACGATTGTGGCGGACTCGGGAGAGATCGAGGCCATCCGCAAGTACAAGCCCACGGACGCCACGACCAACCCGTCCCTCATCTACGCGGCGGCGCAGATGCCGGCGTACCAGGGCTTGGTGGACGACGCGGTGAAGCACGCGCTCGGCCTCCAAGGTGCGGAGGGGAGGTACCTGGTCGGGTGGTTGGCGAGGCCTTGTGAATGGTGCTTTGCTGTGTTGGATGTTTTCTTCGCTAAACGAATTTCATTTGGTTGCCGATTAATGTTCCTTTGCTCACCCGGTTGCGGTAGGGGATGACGTGGCATGGAATGTCGGTTTTTTGTGCGGAGGAAAGAAGGGAACGGTCGATCTCAACCATTGCCAGACGACACCGAAGTTGAGGCTTAAACAACGAAACAAAACCTTTCCGCCGCATCGCAGGCTTGCCAAAGGAGCGAGTGGAGGCGGCCATGGACAAGTTGTCTGTGAACTTCGGGCTGGAGATTCTCAAGATCGTCCCTGGCTACGTCTCCACGGAGGTTGACGCTAGGCTCAGCTACGACACGGAGGCTACGGTGGCTAAGGGCAGGAGCATCGTGGCGCTCTACAAGGCCGCTGGTGAGTGAAACCGAGGGGGGGGGCGTCTGTGGCGGTGTTGCCAAGGTGCTCAAGAGAGCGCTAGGAACGAATAAGGGGCTGGTTGTACTTGGGCGTGAACTCGTCACGCGCGTAGTTTGGTGAAGGCGCTTGGTGGGTTCTGGTGGTTGGCTCGTGCGCGTACATTCTGCAGCATCCTGCCTTTCGCTGAAGAGCGTGTGGGCCACACCATCACCTGTTCGACGAACGCTTCGCTTGTGTACCTGCATCCATCTCTCGTGGAAAGCCTTGTGGAGCTCTGTGTGACTCCATTCCGCGCGACCGCGGCTGGTGATACTTCAAACGTACAACATACCCCGAAAGTTGTGCAGATGACCGGCGCCAGAACAAGTGGGACGAACACAAAAGGAACACACGAGAAGAACACGCACCAGTCTCGTCAGGGCCGCTAATCACCCTCACCTTCCATCTTAACCCCCCCCCCGCCCCCCCCTGGGCCATGATGATGACAATATCCAACAGGGATCGACAAGTCCCGCGTTTTGATCAAGATCGCCAGTACGTGGGAGGGCATCAGAGCGTGCGAGATCCTGCAGAAGGAGGGCATCTCCTGCAACATGACCCTTCTCTTCTGCATGGCTCAGGTACGTACAGAAACACGCCGCACCCTGGCCGGGCGCGTCATGTCCACATGTCTCAACTGGAAAAGGGTTGGTGCCCCAATCACATCATTTGTCGCCAGAAAAGAAAACCTTCGGTTGAGTTCTACGGCCAAGTACGATGGCGGGGGGGCTCCTGGCACATTTTCCGTAGCATGCTGCAGAACTTGAAATTGGCTACGTTTCACGAGGCGTTTTCTCCACCCGCGCCCCCGAGTGTCGTCGCCTGCGCGCTCCCTCCTCACACGCTCGGAAGCTGTCTCTCCTTGGCACTCTCACGGGTCTTTCATGGCGAAAGCGCCGGAAATCATCCCTATCTTTTGAACAGCGGCGTTAATCCATCCCAGAGCGGCGAGACCCTGGATGTGGGAGCGCTGCCAACTATCCCCGTAGACTCCGTCGAACATGAGGCAGACAACATGACGACTACCCACCCCTTACGCGCGCCCTATTATTTTTTCGTTCCGCGTAGGCTGTCGCTTGCGCAGAGGCAGGGGCGACGCTCATCTCCCCCTTCGTGGGTCGCATCACGGACTGGTACAAGGCGGACACCGGTCGATCAGGGTACGCGGCGGAGGAAGACCCCGGCTGCCTCAGCGTGTCGGAGATCTACGGGTACTACAAGAAGCACGGGCACGGCACGATCGTCATGGGGGCCAGCTTCCGGAACAAGGGGCAGATCCTGCAGCTGGCGGGCTGCGACCGGCTCACCATCGCTCCCAAGTTCCTGGAGGTGGGTGAAGATGATGATGATGATGATGATGATGATGATGATTACGGCAATGGGGTTCGACCATTGCGGTATTGTCCCTTTTGAAAGTTCGTTTGGGGTGGAGAAGATGGTGATGATGCGTTTGGATCGTCGTGGTGCTTGTGTCTTGACACAGCAGAGTGTACTGGTGCTCCGAGAAGTGGCTGTGTGTGTTGTCTCCTGTTTTTTTTCGTATCCTGTCTTTGGGTTTGTTTACTTGTTCGCGTCGATCGCGCTAGCCGGCTGACCAATGCAAATGTTAGTCTCGGCGCGGCTACAATAGACACGGTGAACTAGAGGTCATGATCCAGGCCCCCGTGAGGGGTGTGTGGGTCTCAGTAGCGCGGTCGATGTGCTGTACGTAGTCGAGCGGCACCGAAGGGAGACTTCTAGTTGTTAGCCAAGGCGAGACCATGCTTTCTGACCGCCACTTACCCCATCCCCTATCCCTGTTTTCACTCGTTCATGTTTTTCAGGAGCTCAAGGGCGGGACAGAAAAGGTGGAGCGCAAGCTGGAGCCGGAGACAGCCTCGAAGGCATACAGCGGGGGCCGCTACCCGGCAGACTCGAAGTAAGTGTCTTGAACAACTCGTCGTGGGATGATGGTTCGCTGTGCGTATCTTTTTTTTTTTTCTCTCCTTTCGCGGACTATGCCTCAACACAAATTGTGTGGCGAGTACCTACCAGAATGTTGCCAAATCGCGGCAATGCGTTGCCGCATTTCATGTACTCCTCATGAAAGTGAGGGTCGTTGAGGATTTGGGCGAAAAACTTGAGAAAATTCATGGTTTCGGAGTGCTCGCTCTCAGGCTTATTGTGCATTTCTCTCTTAGCGAGCGGTGGGGCTATATCTCCAGGTCGTTTCGGGTGCAACTTCGGTGTTTTTTTGTGTTGGATGCTGCTGTTGTTGGCTTTAGGCAGGAAGGACACACGTATTTGCGCGCCACTCGCGCCGTGCCGTCTGCGGGCGGGGTTGAGTGAGCCCACGACAAGATCCTGAGGCAACTCAAGACGTTCGTGATGCCCGGTGGCATTCATCCGCTCCATCCACTAGGTTGCATCTGTTGATGGAACTGGGGTACGCGGTCGGCGGACCTCATCATCCCTGTCGTGATAGGCGTTGGTTGCTTCTGCACGTCTCGAAAATCCGAACGCAACACACGAGCCAATGGCATCGTCGAGCGCGACCGAGGAGGAGACGCCCGCAAGTACATGATCCCAAGCGTTACGCCAACCCCACCGGGCAAATTGATTCTGACCTCAAACCAACGACACGCACCCAATCGGGATCGATCCTCGCAGGTCTTTCCGGCTCAAGCTGAACGAGAACGCGATGGCGACAGAGAAGTTGGCGGAGGGCATCGCCTCCTTCTCCCAGGCCATCGTCAAGGTGGAGAAGATCATCACCGACAGGATCGCCGCGGCGTCGACCTGAGGCGGGATCGAGGGCAGCACCACGCCTATACTACGTTGTTGTTGTTGTTGTTGTTGTTGTTGTTGTTTCTCACATTAGCTCCATAGTCCACAAAAAATGGGGAGCCCGTGGTCACAAACCCGGCACATACGACGCCGCGGGGAAACAAAACAAAAATAGGGTACAAACCATTCGGAAAAAGAGAACAATATGATAAAAAGAAAAGAACAGCCACCGCACCGACCGTTCGGGAAAAGAGCCCTCGGAAACCAATAAAAAAATAAAGGAGGACGCTTCCCACACCCGCCTCAAGAAAAAATCAAAGGGTAACGTACCAGCACCAGGCACTACGCACCAAGGCATGGGAGTAACGGAGCAAACAGGACAAAGAGGCGGCAGATGGGCAGACAGCCAGATTTACAAAACGTATGTAGCGCCGACTGCTGTGGATTCTTTGCATACAACGGCATTGCCAGGTAGTCTTCTGCTGTACGTGGCATGTTTTGTTGCCAAGGAAATAAATCAATGCCGTTCGTGCTTTCGCTGGTCTTTGCTCTGTGGGCATTGTAAGCCTCACAAATTTGAGCGTGTTTAGTCGTTGTCCAGGAGGTATGTTCGGCAGAAAATCTTGCAAGGCAACCGCGCGAGATGTGAGGCGATGGTACCCTTTTAACTGTCTGGGGTACTATCGATCGGGGTAGGCGAAGGGGTCGGGTTCCCACCAACAGATGTGTATGAGCGCCATGTTTGGTCTCGGTCGAGCGGGGGGGGGGTCGAGATAATGGACCCAGTGCATCTTTACGTGTCTGTAAGAATCGCCTTTTTACGACAGCACACGTATATGTTTTGGGGTTGGTGAAAAGTTGCCGTTCGGCGACACAGAGACGAGCGTACTACGGCCTGACATCGTTGGTATCACGACGTTTCGCGGTAGACAATGAGTTGCTTTCTCGACGTTGGGCCGTCGTTGCTTGGTGTGTGTTTGGTGCGGCTGCCACCGCTCGGGGAAATGGGTAGACTAGTGTGCATGGTTGTGTTTCTCTCCTGTGGAGGTTAGGCTAAGGTCTGTGGACTTGCACGCGATATTGGCGGAGAGAGCCAAGTAGTTGGATAAACTTCTTCTTCCGATTGGACGAAGAGTAGGTGCCAGGACGAGGGTGGTACGGAACGTCCTTCAATCCTGGATGAAGTTGACTAAAATCAGACAGAGAGAGAGTGAGAAGGTGCCCGCACTTTTCTGATTGGCCAAGAATATCTGAGGAAATTTCAGATAGCAGCGGCTTGTACCATCTGTGCATACACAGGGTGTGTCGGAAAAGACTTCTTCTCGCATTGCTTGCTCGAAAAACGACCAAACATGGAAGAACACAAGCAAACAAGCAACGCCGGGTGAGAAAGGGGCTGCTGTGTTGCAAAGAGGTACAACTAATCCACATTCCACCGGACTAGGCTAGATTGACGAGGACCTGCCTTACACTCGGTGCGACCGTCCAAGACGAGTCCGGGTACCCACGAAAACGTCCCGCGAACAAATGCATCGTATTAACAGACTTTCATTCGCCAATCCACAACACGTCAGCAAGCCGGGGTCGGTATCCACTACGAACACCCGCTACCACGACGCTCACCTGTGTAAACAAACACAACACACCACGATCGTGTACTATCCAATCCGCGTCATCCCCCCCGCCCGGCGCCGCGCGCCCCTGAATACGCGCGAGGGTTGATGGCAACCGAGCTCGACTGACGCCAAATAGGTAAGGTCCGCATGGCCCCCTCTGTCCACCGTCAAGACGAGGCCTGAATTCCCGTCCCGGTCTAAAATAAACGAATAGCACGATTCAGCAACATAACATCTCGGCCACCTCCGCATTCTTCCCTCTACCACGGTAAGACAAAATCTTCCGCAACGAGCTAGAGAAGAACTACGGCAGCAGCGTGAGCATGAGGGGGCAGTGGTCAGACCCAAGGAAACCGTCGCGGTCGGCTCCGCTGCCGAAAACCTTCACCTCCTTGATGCGCGGGGCAAGCACCGTCGACAGGAGGAAGTAGTCGATCCGCATGCCCTGGGGAGGGGGGAGAGCGTCAAGCAACCATGGTCGGCCACGGAGGAAGCGGATAGATGTGGTTCATGTGGTTCTTGGGGGGGTAGGCGAAGGCTTCGTTTCACGGTCCGGCACGAGCGCAGTCCGCGTGCCTCTCTGATGTTGATGACCCTATAGCCCAGTTGGATTAAGAGTACAGCAGTGCGGGCCTGCAGTCAAGCAACTTTCGCCAGGAATCAGAGAGACAAATTTTAACCGAAAAGCAGGAAACCGTTGACACAACACAGGCGAGAATCCTACACTAAGCTCAATAGAACAGCAGCCTATATACCGTCAATGACACGAGAAAACACACCCCTGGAGCAATCAAGCAAGCAATTCGAGTACGTAGAGAGTCACACGCAAAATATGCGGCAGGGAAAACCGATGCAGGATGGAAGGAGTATGTTGAAAATAGAAAGAGGGTGAAGGAGTTGGTGGTGAAGAAGAAAGCGTTGTGGGAGGAAGTAGTCCAAAAGACTAACGAAGATTTTGAGGGGGGGATGAAGCAAATGTGGGTAGGAATTCAAGGGATAGTGGGCAAGAAAAGAGGGGGAGACACGGGAATAGCGACACTACGATCTGCCGAGGGTAAGATGGTAAGCAGTTCTAAAGGAAAGCGGGAAGTCCTAGTAGAGCACTACCGCAAACTTGGGACACCCACCACCAACGACAACTTCGACTCGGAGTTTGAGAAGGAAATCAACTCGTGGGCAGAGGAAAACGTTGAAAG